TGCTAAAAACTAATAGGCTAGTCAGTGTGCAATTAATCAGTTAAGCAAGTTTTAAATCAATGATTTTGTAGCGTCCCGCTACTGGCCATGCATGGCCGCGAGAGGCTACGGATGTGTGGCCATGCAGAAGGCCATGGAAGAGGCTCTTGGGAGGTGCATACTCCCTGTATAAAGGGACTTAAATGCTATTTATGCCATTCTTTGTTAGTTTAAATTATGTGTATGTGTTACCTGTGTTACTGTGTGTCAGCTAGTGGGCTTAGGTAGTTAGGTTGAGTGTCTACCATTAAGCAGAGATGTATGGCTGGTGATGACCTCACTGCTATTTGTGCTGTGTTATGTGCCTTTGTGCCTAATGTTTAATAAAAGAGCATTTCTTGCTGCAGAATCATGGCCTCTCCTGTGTCTTACTTTGTGCTGATATTATCTTTAATGTAGCCTTTTTTATTACATCTTTAATTTGATTTATGTTGTTGTATCATATGATTTTAAACTAATATTCTAGACTTTTCTTTATTTTGTTTTCCTTTATAGTAGTTACTGAACTAAACTCCTAATGACTTTTATTACTGCTAAACCTTATCACCTGTCTGCAAAGCACTATAAATGCTCCATAAATAAAGTTATTATTATTATTATTAGTAGTAGTAGTAGTAGTATTAACAATAATAATCGTAGTAGATTAAGTCAGTTAACATTTAGTGATAAGAGGATAAAAACGTTAATCAAATTAATGTTTGCTAAGGCAAAGGACAAAAAGCTAAAATGAACATTCTCTTACATTTTAAATGCCTCTATGGATCTCTGAACTTTCAACGATCCAACATTACTATTCAAATTCACATAGGAAAGCAAAGGTCCTTGATTTTTCAAATTCAGTATCATAAGCAATTGGCCAGATTGGTTCCAGCTGTGTGACAGGACCTTTCACATAATGTGGCCTACATACAAATCAGGATCAATGATGAATCTGTAAAGGCAGAATCTGAGAGAATATTAATCAAACTGTTACAACTTCAGATACCCACTAATGCATTTAAACCCCCTTCTATTACATTCAGTATCACTTGAACAAACTCTCTCGCAATACTGCTGTAATACACCAAACCCCCTGCTTTCACTTCATCTTCCATATGGTATCACTGTATTAGCGCTGGGGGTTCTGCTTTACATCACCCAGAGCGCTCTGCTGAAAGAACACAGGTGGAGACCTTTATAGTCCTTATGCTGAACTTGGTTGGTTATATGCCCATTACAGCACCATGCCTACTTTCATAAGGTTACATGACATGTACATAAGTTTTTGATGACAACTAATGTAATCTTACATAGACGTTTATAAAGACTTATTATAACTGGAATCAGCTATGCTTTTGTCAACTTGGATATCAAGTGACAAACCTTTGCTGACATTAGGTTGTCATGACACTTAATGCTTATGTTGGTACCATTTAGCCTTATGAACACTGCTTTTAATGGAAATGTTATCTGTACACTGTACTTAAAAGAAGTATTCAATAGGTTACATGATATGAACGTACGCCTTTCATGACATCTGACCTAATCTTACATAGATACACAGAGCCAGAGGAACATTATACTCCAATGTATACAAATTATATTGAGAAATGACAATAAAGACCACTTGACTTGACCTCTTGACCATATTAATAAAGGCTTATCACAACAGGGATCAGCTGTGAAAGACAATGTGTTTTTGTCAATGTCGATGTTAGGTACAGACTTTTGCTGACATTAGGGTTACATTATGACACTGTCTGGGGTGAAATGACATAGGAGAATTTTATGTAGCTTTATGTTAGTTCTCCTGAAAGGCTTATGTAGGATTCATGTAGTCTTATGAGCACCACCTCCAAATAATCAATGTCTGATTCTGGATTTTGTTAATAGCTCTGTTTAAATCACCTATGAAAATCCATATTTCAGTTTATCCACTTACACACCAAGCAAGACTGTGCACTGGAACTCATATTCAAAAAAGAAACGATTAAAGCCAAAAGAGCCCTGAAAAACGCACATTTTCCTGCTGATGCACTCAGCAACAATTACCATCTGCACTCCTGCAAGGCCTCAAGGTCACTGTGCTTCACAGACGAAGGTGAAGCAGAGTGTAATCTGCACTCTGGATCATAGAGGGAAGCAGGAAAGTGTTAGTGAATCAATTACACAGCCTGGCTCTTAATCCAGCCAATTCAGCCTCGCGCTCTCCGTTTTTATGATCCCATTTACTGCAGACTGAGCGAGTGAGCAGTGAGCAGAGAGGCTAAGACGCTCTCTCCATCCTAGATACCTTCTCCTCTCCCTCTTCTCCATGGCTCTGCACTACTCAAATATGAGTCACCAGGGTAGGAGACGAAACGAGACCTGAATTACTGTACGCTGTGACGCCCAGGGCTTGAAGCATCTGTTTGCATGCTGTTGTGGGTTACGGTCTAAAAGTAACCCGGGTTCTGGCTGGTTAGGGGTGGTTATCGTTCGGCGGAGGAGTGCGGTAGCAAAACAAATAAGAACAAACGATTGAAATGGTGCCTGCTTTGTTTGGAAGGTATGAAATCGATTTCTTTCGGTGAAATGAATGGAATACCATTTGCTATGATGTCGATGACTAAGTGCAGTACAGAGCTGAAAGGAAGAGAAGCAGAGATGCAACAGAACGGCAGAAAAGAGAAAGAGGGCGAATGAGAAAAAAGAGAGCTTCAAAAGGAAGTAGAAGAGACTTTGGAAGAGTGTGGGAGAAAACGTGTGCTATTTTTATTACATTGCATTTGTCATACACTACTGCTCAAAAGTTTGGAGGCTCTGTTCGCAAGTTCAGAATGGCTGTTTCCTGATACATAATTTCACTTTTTTGTTGTAGATATGGATACAAAATTACTAATATGATGCTGGTACTCTAAACATCATAGGTTTAAAAATAATTTACAGTTAAGAAGTTTTAGATGTGTAAAGAATGATGAACTGGTTAGTAGATGATTTTAAAAGGAACTTAAAAAATGCAAGATGATGTAAGATTTTTTATGAAGTAAATGACTCTATAAAGGATCATTTCCAAGTAACAGAACTTATAGGGCAGAGATTTAACTAAGAACACCATGTATAAGTTTTACATATTTCTACATGAGATATGTAGTATAAAAAGTTCAATCTGCAATATAACTTAATAACAATAACAACTCACAGTCAGGGGTGAGCAATATGATGATATTTTTATTTATTTATTTTATTTTTTTTACGCAATTTTCTCCCCAATTTAGTTGTGTCCAATTCCATCCGCTAGTTAGGACTCCCCCAATCACATAATACTATCAACACTAGGAGGGTGAAGGCTAACACAGGCTTCCTCCGAGACCTGTGAAACCAGCCACCACATATTTTCGAGCTGCCGCTCACTCAACGTCATTGGACATCTGAACGCGCTCGGAGGAAAGCGCCAACCACCAGATGTGTTACATCAGCTAACAGACGCCTGCGCTGACTACCATCGCATTGAGTGATGGGGGAGAAGGGGGGCCATCCTACCCACCCAGAGAGAGTGAGGCCAATTGTGCTCTCTTGGACTCCCGGCTACGGATGGCTGTAGCGTCACCAAGGATCGAACTCATGATCTCCTGATGATAGGGCCAACGCTTAGATGGTTGCACCACTCGAGAGCCCCCTGTGATGATATTTTATTCTTATTGAGATATATAAATAAAGATCATTGTACTCTTAGACACTAAGTTTTCTTTTTTTGTAGCAGTACTTTTTTTTTTGTCAGTTCCAATTAATGAAACCTCAGAAAAACAAAATATTGTGACACACATCATGTATCATTAAATTGTAAAGTATCGTGGTATATTTTTGCCATATCGCCCACCCCTACTCACAGTACATTTACTTTTGATGTTCAAGTACATTTAGAAAGTAATTTTTACTTTAGCAATCAAGTAGAAACACAGGCTGACAACTTGATAATACTTTACCAAGGATATTTCTACTTTTACTCTACTTTTCTACAGTTATCTGCATATCGTCGCTGTTCAATGAAAAACACGTATCTCCATTTTTTTGCAATTTTTACTTTTCTGCACTATTTGAGCTCAGCAGCTGTCCTTTACAGTGTGAAAATTCATGATGATCGGACAAATAGAAATGCTCCAAAACTGCTTAGAATGAAAACTCTTTCCATTAACTTACATTCAAAGCAAGGAACATTTACTGTTTTGGAGATACTTGTTTTTCTTGGGATAGCGATGACATTCATACAGAGTTGAAATTTCACATAAAAATATTACTCAAGTTTGAGGTAATTAAAATCTTCCATAGAACTGAAAGGCCTCTAAATTTTAACTTCCATTACGTGGGAATGATGCCTTATAACAGTGTTATAAACAGAACACAAATGTCAAAACAATGACACTGATTTCTTATAACATCTGAGGTCATCTTGCAAATACTGGCATAAGCTATTTATAAACAATTCAAATATTGCTTTATAAATATGTTACTCAATGCTTATGCATGTGTTATGAAGACAGCCTTCAAATAAAGTGTTACCAAAATAATGATATCCAGAATGCCATGCCTTTGAAAACTGATCAAATCTTAAATTAGCCAACGTGCTATAAAGTTGTAATAAACAGATAATTACATCATGTAATTTGTTTAAAAACAATTAAATATGGAATAAAGTATATAAAAGTACTCTTTGGTTTATACAGTGTCTAATGGCAATCTAAACTGCAGTTGCAGTAATTGTACTGTAGTAATACACTACATGAAATTAATGAGAAAATAACAAAAATGACAAGATATACCAAACTTTTGGACAGTAGTTTACTTCAAACACAGCCAAAGGTGCTATAAAGAAAAGGAATATAATAAAAAGGTGTAAAGAAGCTGAGATAAGAGATAAGAGAGTGAGAGAGCTTTAGAGATACAGCAGAGGAAGTGAGACATAAAGGGAATATGGAGAAAGCTGAGAGTGATTGGTGTCTCACCGGGGGTGCCGCCAGCCAGCCGTATTTGTCCTCTGTGCGGTTCATGTCCCGGTCGAAAGCGTAGAGTTGGCAGTAGCGTAGGTGATCCATGTCCACCAGGTTGAACTGCCGGCGGGCATAGTGGTAGCTCTCATTGTTCCCTATGCGGGGGAAGTCTAGCCACTCCGGATGGCCAAATTCGTTACCTGCAAAGGCCCAGAGGGGAGAGAAATACAGAAGAGAATGTTACACACAGAGCAGTCTTAACAAATCAAGAAAAAAAGATCCCCACTCCGTGTCCTTAGAGGGTGAAAAACAAAAACAACCTTTTAATGGATGGCTCTTTAAAGAACCATTCTTACAAATAAGATGTGAAAATGTGAAAACCCTAATGAACCTTCAAAGAATATAAAAGTTCTACACCAAGTTCTTACATCCAAGCCATTTAGGAACCTTCATGGAATTATATAATGCCCAGAAAAAGTGTTAAGCAAATCAAAACTTTTATTTTAGCTACTTTAAAGTATCCCCCTTTTCTCTGATGCAGCTTTCACACTCTCTGCATTCTCTCAAGCAGCTTCATAAGGAGAAACCTGGGATGCTTTTCATACAGAAAATACATATATAGTTGCTATGAGACAAAAAACCTTTTATCTCCAAAATAGTAACTTTACAGGAGCAGGAAGATAACAGAACTAGATCTTTTTCAAGTAAATTTGGAGTATTTCTATTGGTCTATTCACTAAGAAATTGAATCATGATGTAAAAGTAATTCAAAATGACAAAAACAGAGATGCGAGGTTTTGTTCCGACAGCAGCAATATGCCGAGGTCTAACTGCTGGCTGAGAACTATTTGTTAGGGTAAAAAATATATAGTGTGTCCATCATTTGTCTTTATTAAAGCTTCCATTCCTTTTGGGAGTCTTGCTTTCAGTTTTTCACAGAAATCTGCAGGAATATTTTTTCCCCACACAAGTTCATTCGGATGTTGGGAGCCCCATTTTCTCTGTATCTTTTAATAACGTTTTTGAACTTCAGCTTTGGATTTTTTTTTTCTTCCTTTGACTTTCCCATTCTGCATGCAAGTGGATTATCTCATACCTAGTATTCTCAGAAATATCTACTAAAAATGAATAACTTGTGGTTACTGGCAATCAAATAATGGGAGGGTGGTCTCTGACTTTTGACAGTACTGTATATATTACATTTTAGTCAGTAAATGCATTTGTATGCATCAGCTTCATTTTTATTTGTGTGTATTTATATTTGGCTAATCAATATATTTCAAGTATTTAAGCATCAGCTTTCAAATATATCTTTAAGGTGATGAATAACATACATTTAGTCAAGTGTGCAAACCTGACTGGTACTGTAGATTCTCCCACAACAGCATTGCCCTTTTCTCAACATCAAACTTCAAAGCGCTGATTCAACATGCATCCATGGGAGAGGGAAGCGTGTATCTTCAGAATCTATTCCCACGGCTTCGTGTGATTTGCTTTCATACAAACAAATGAATGCAAAATGAATTCAATGATCTATATTCCAAACATTTTTGAAAGGAAAGAGCGAGGTGCGACAACAGGAGTACTATTAAAAAAAAAGGAAAAAAAAGAATGAAAAGATTGAATAATGGATCATGAAAGGCGACCTTGTCGGGGAGGTTAAGGAAGAGGAATTAAACAGCTCAGCTTTTGACCCACCTTCTGCCTCCTAACTCTGCCTGCTGCTAAGATGTAAATTGTAACAACCCCTGTGGTTGCTGGACTTTAATGACCAGGTTTGAGAAGGTCCAAGATAAATACAGATGCACCACAGCTTTTAATCATATAAAGGTTGGGGATTTGAAATCTCACCCATCAGCCATTACTTGGTTAAAGCCTCTCTCATATCTATATTTACAGACTGACTGCCTTAATTAGTGTTTCAAATCCTGCCATAAATTAACCCTCCCTAGAATACAGTTACATACAACGCAACCCAGAAAACCTTCATAAGGTTGACCAATGTTCCAGAAGTTTGTAGGGCGTGATCGTCTTGCCCAGCGAGCTCAGCTCTGGAGAAGATGAGAGAGGAGAAGGCTGAGGAGATCAGAGGGGAGGAACTGGGGGATACATTTGCACACAGAACGTGAACGGAGGAATAAAAAGAGAAAGAAATGGAGAGAGGCGACAGCCTTGTCAAGCGGAGTGATGAGATAATGAATCCGTCATCAGCTGACAAGACAACATCATAAAACAACAGTTGGGTAATTGAATTCTGAGGGGGCGACGAGCCGCTTTGACGAGTGAGAGAATGGAGGCAAAAACAATAGTGATGAAGTGTGTTGTTTGTTCAGAGAGAGAGAGAGAGAGAGAGAGAGAGAGAGAGAGAGAGAGAGAGAGAGAGAAAGAGCGCGGGAGGAGGGGAGGATAAAAGTGAGTGACCGGACGAAGTGGAACGGACAGGGAGTGACAGAGCTTTCTAATGAAATACATTAGCTAGCTGTTAAAGAAGCATCAAACAATAAGTGAACTGCGTGCTACGCATACACTGCAATGCATGCTTATGAATTAACAAGTTGAGAAGTGTCAGGAGAGAGAGAGAGAGAGAGAGAGAGAGAGAGAGAGAGAGAGAGAGAGAGAGAGAGACCCAGAGTGAGGTAGGCAGAAAAGAAAGGCAGCAAAAAAGAGAGAGGCAGAGTCAGAAAGAGAGAAAGTGAAAGAAAGAAGAGAGAATGAGAAAGAAAGAAAGAAAGAAAGAAAGAAAGAGAAAGAATGAGAGAAAGGTAGGGAGAAATTGTGAAAAAAGAAAACTGGTAAGTAGTGAAATAAATATATAGAATAGTGAAATAAAAGATGGAGAGAGAAAGAAAGGCGGAGAGAGACAGAAAAAATAAGTTCATGAAAAAAAGAAAACTGGAGAGTCCTTTAAGACAAAGAAAGAGAGAGAGAGAGAGAGAGAGAGAGAGAGAGAGAGAGAGAAAAAGAAAGGCAGTGAGAAAGAGAGACAGGCAGAGTGAGAAAGAGAAAGGTAGGGAGAAAAAGGGAAAAAAAAAGAGAAAAGCTGACAGACATGGAGTGGGAGCAAGAAAGGCAGAGAGAGAAAGAGAAAAAATGTAAGTTCAGGAAACCAAAAAGAAAACATGAGTCCTGTGAGAGAGAAAAAAAAAGAAAGAAAGAGACAAAGAGAGACAGAAAAGAGAAAGAAAAAAGAAACAGAAAGAGAGAGAGGAGAAATAGAAAAAAAACACAATAAAAGAAGGCACACGAGTGAGAGAGATGGTGGGTGCAGGAAACAAAAAGGAGAGAAGGAGAGAGTTCCACTAGAAGACAGACGCTGGTTAATCCCTGGATACAGCCACGATTTGAAATCCTGAAAATATGGAAATGGGGAGATAACCAGGGAATTTAAACAATAACAATCGCAGCAGGTAGCGTATTCTCACTAAGCCTCCGAGGAACACGCACATCCCACCATGACGGCAGTGTGCAAACTTCCCAGAGCAGAAAGTAAACCTCGCTTGGAGGATGAACTTCTTTCCTCTCTGTTCCCTCCATCTGACTGCGGGAAGTATTCAGGGGTGACCTTTTCCTTGTGCTTTTGTTCAAAGCGTATTCTGCTCTTCTGTGTGAGAGGATGATACACAACACTTGCGTACTGTTCAAGCGGGATGGCAATTTTCTGAGGCGTACTTCTGAGATACATTCAAATAATCAAATTCTCTTTGTCTTGCACTACAAATGTAGCGGCGTCTCAGAGAAAGCTCTTTTTTTGCTGACTGTTCTGTACTTGCATCTCATACTGTCTGATGATATTGCTGCTCAATACCATTTCTGCAGTCTCAAGAAAGCCTATATTTATAAATAAAGCATGAAAGCACAGATAGAATTGAAAGCCATTTAAAGGATTTTTCGTCAGCGGTGCTTCAAAGGATAGAAAACCTTCACCTGTACAGCAGCATGACCTCAATGTGGTATTCTGTGGTGTAGCCCCTACAAAGCCTGCCAAGATTTTCCCAACCAATCCCACAGAGAAGCTCAAAGAGTGCCTGGAAGCTCCTGTAATGTCATCTCCACTCTGAAGCCGAAAGCATAGTTAGAGGCCAGCGTTTGCTTAGTCAAGGTGAACGGGCTGAAAGTCAAAGTGGGTCTGAAAAGTCAAACTCGGAGCTGAAAAAGTCTCCCGGCACGGAGCCGTGCTATCTGGAATTGATTTAAGAGAGAAGAGGTGAGGAACAGGAAGCATGAGGTGTGGTATAAATTTACGAGTGTTTGTGCTCATGAAGATCTCACAAAAAGGCTGTAAATTGCCACAGCTTAAACTGCCACTTCCGTCTGTGCCATCTTTTTTATTTTGTGTGCTTATTTGCTTTGTTTTATGAGTTTACTTGCTCTGTGATTACCCCATGTGTGAATTAAAGGGCCTGTATGATGGAAAACCAATGGAAAAATGTCTTCACCATGTTGAAATAAAAGAGATTGATGTGATGTGTAAAGACTGTTCATTCATTCCTCCATATAGTCCACATATGGCAACCAAGCAGCAAAATCAGCCCATTCCAATATCTTTGTTTTTGTTATGTCACAAAAACCAGCACATTTATATACAGTTGGATGCCCGCTGGTCAAATTATATGTTTTGTTCATTTTCTAAGTGAAAATATTCTATTAAATACAACAAGTTTGTATTAAATATTGCACATATTTAATACACACCTGTTGTTTACTGGCTGAATTTAACACATCAGAAGTTTAAGCTGCGCACATTTAAATGAAAGTCATAAGTAATAGTATTTACGATCCTGCACAAGGCACAAGGGCAGCCAATCAGAAAAGCAATCATTTACATGTACCAGTCTTAAAGGCACAGTAGTAAAAAGAGCCGGTTTATGTCTAAGGGATAAAGAGAAGTTAGAAAAGGGTCAAACTGAACTATGACTGCTTTTGGCACATGACACCACACAACTGTCATCAGCAGACCTTATTTTGAATTTCAGGGTGTTAACATAAAGAAGGCATAATAGGCCAAAATGCAACCTATTTTTTGGGCCAATTTCTTCTCATTATAAGCCATCACTGATGACACTCTGAAGGCAAATCCCAGTAATGAACTCTGTCTGTGCCAATCACTTACACATGAGGTAAGTAATCATGTACCAAATCTTTCCTCTAAGACGTGTAATTACTGGCTCAGAAACGGGCTCTAGATAATAGAATGCTGAAT